TCTTGCAACGCTAATTCACTGGTACAAAAAGCAGCTGAAGCTAATCGAGGAATCCGGGTGAGCGCTGCATTTTTTTACATAATCTTGTAGTTTCATCCTTGCCCAACATCGCTGTGAAGAAGAAAATGTTTCGAACCTCAGTTTTGCGTTTGTATTGACGTAACTTTCCGTGGAGGCTTTGGGGTAAATATTTTTACCAGTTTGGGAGCCGAGGTAAATCATTTTACCAGTTTGGGAGCCGAGGTGAATCTTTTTACCAGTTTGGGATCCGAGGTAAATCTTTTTATTAGTTTGGGAGCCGAGATAAATCTCATTACCAGTTTGGGTTTGGGAGCCGAGGTAAATCTTTTTATCAGTTTAGGAGCCGAGGTAAATCTTATTACCTGCTTTTGACAAGACTTAGCGCCTTCGAGTTATATTTGACGTGTTTTTTTTTTTGGGTATTACCATCTCTTTCAGAACTTTGCCATAACTAGACCACGATAAGATGGTACCTTACCAATTGGGAGGCTATATAAGGAATGGCGAAATAGTCCGATTTATCCATCTGTTATCTCTCATTCTTGCCACATTCGTTAGCCCAGCGCTTTTTTTCTGGGATTTTGCGTTGGCGCCAAGCTTTAGTGATGAAAACTACTAGATTTTATGGTGGATTGATGATGGATTTGCAGTGAAGGAATGGATGATAAACGTCTGGTGCTGAATTATATCTTTTGCACTGCTCTGAACGAAGTTTTACCGCAACTTCATTTTTTTCCAACCGTTTGCGATGATTCGGTCTCCTATCTTGTGACACTTGCATTCAAGGAAGTGGCCTACACCGATCAGTATGTTTCATCGTTTTTTACTGTTTTGAAGTGAAAATTTTTTTAGTATTTTTAGATTTTGTAAAATTTTTTCGTATTTTTTGTTTTTTTTTGTTTGCGGATTTTCGCGGAGTCGGGAAACCTTACGTTTGAAAAGACGTTTATTCATCATTTTCTTGTTTCTAAGTTCTTATGTCAGAAAATTTTTGAATAATTATCTGTGCGGTAGGAAAAAATTAAGGGTGTTGGGGTGAAAAAAATTGATCAAATTGGGCATCATTTTGCAGGGTT